ACACAGGCTCCTGGATATTTGGTTACAGACAACAGGCCATCATTTACAGTAGGGAATTTGAGTATTTCCTAAAGTCTAATGACATTGAGCATATAAGGGTAGCTCCATGCCATCCATTGGCCAATGGTCTGGCAGTAAGAGCAGTCCAAACTTTGAAGGCAGACTTAAAGAAACAGCCCACAGCTTCACTCAATACCAAACTGTTCCGGTTGCTGTTTGATTATTGGACTATCCCTCATGCAATTACAGGGATAGCTTCAATAAGTGCTAATGGGGAGAAGAATCTGCACCAGGTTAAATCTGATCCTCCCTGATCTATGGGGCAGGATGAAATGACATCAGGAATGCTAATGCCAGACTCAAGCCTCCTCTAAGTGAGAGAGACAGTTTACCTCGAGGGACAAATTTGGTGCTGAAATTATGGAAATCATGCATGGGTAAGAGGCATGTTCGACACGAGGTCAGGTCCCATGACATACAAAGTTCAGGTAGGTGAGGCAGTCTTGAACAAGCACGTGGACCGTACAAAAGCTGAAAACTTACAAACAAGGCAGGAACAAGACATAACCGGCCCCTCAGAACAGCGAGAAATGCTATTAGAACCCCTGGATTCTTCTCCTCCAGCTAGTGTTGAAGAAACCTCAGAGTCTGAGATGTACACAACAGATAACACAGCCTTGATGCCTTTATCGCCTGAAAAAGGATGAATTTCTTTCGAGATGCTCCAGGCACAAGAGGCAGGCTATGATCCGGTACATACCATCTGTATCCAAGGTTGAGTCAGAGGAACCAGACCTGGTGCCCAGGAGAGGCTACAAAAAAAAAACACGCCTACATTCCTGGACTTAAAGGGGGTGGGATATATTGATTGTAATGAAGTCAGCCAGCTGGACCTCACGGAATATGAGTTCCCTGATTAGTGCTGTTATCCTGGTTCAATCAGGGAGCCGTGTCTGACAGATATAAACAGGACTGTCAGAGATTCTGTTCACTCTGACAGCTGGCTCTGAGGAAGCTGGACCAGTTTCAAGTACAATGCAGGTGTAAATACAGGGTTGCTTGGTGACAGGGTGCCAACCTCTGTGGAGTTATTTCACTGTCCAATGTCAAACTGTTTCCCTGGCTCCTTCCTCATTCTGTTTTCTTTCCCTTACTATCCTTCTTTCTTGAAGATACTGACATATTGCCAAGTTAAGGTTATAGGCAGTCCCCAGTTGTGAACGGGTTCTGATCTGGAGGCTGCTCGCAAGTTCATTTGTTCGTAAGTCAGAACATAATTCAGGACAATATACGACAGCTGTTCAAAAGTACAGGAAATGTTCTTATGTCAGGTCTTTAATATTACACTCCTGTATAGGCTGACAACCATAAGTATGAGCACTTGTACGTAAGACATTTGTAAATTGGGAACCCCCTATACACAGGGTTCTGCCCTCCTTCAGGTATGAACATCTGCAGAGAAATTTGTTGGCAACCGAATTTTGGATGGGATCCTTACAAATCAAATCAAATCCTGACCTTATCCTGCACTATTAGACATACCATTAGACAAGAGAGAGCCAGAGCATGTAGTAACTCTGAAGAACTGAATTACATTCATTTCAATGCAAGGGGTCTTACACTTAAAGGCTGATGAACTCAGGGCATGTTTAAGAATGTGCGATTGGGGCGTCATAGCTACTACAGAAACTTGGCTGAGAGATGGACAAGACTGGCAGCTCAATGTTCTGGGTTTTAGATGCTATAGCAAGGATAGGAAAGGAGGCGAGAAAGGTGGGTGGGGAGGGGTGGGGGATGGCATTTTTGATTAAGGAATACATTACTACCATAACTAGGGAAAATATTTCTGAAAAATCATTCAGTGAAAATATATGGGTAGAAATTACAAATAAGAAAGGACAGATCACTTTGATGGGATTGTACTATAGGCCCCCCAATAGTAAGAGAGAAATTGAGAAACAAATATGTAGGAAGATCTCAGATATATGTAAGTACAATAAGGTTGTAGTAATTTTAACTTTCCAAACATTGACTGGGACCACCATAGTGTTAAAGGTTCGAATGGTGAAGAATTTGTCAAATGTGCTCGAGAAAATTTTCTTTTTCAATATGTGGATGCTCCTACTAGAAAAGGAGCAAAACTAGACCTTCTTCTGGGCAATAAGGCAGGGCAGATGACTGAAGTATAAGTGGGGAAACACTTTGGGTCGAGCAATCATAATTCTATTAGTTTCAAAATGCTTGTGGAAAAAGATAAGCCTTCCATAAAAGTTATAGTTTCCAATTAGAGTAAGGCAAATTTTAATGGTATGAGGCAAGACTTTCAAAGGTTGATTGGTGTAGACTGTTCACAGGTAAAAGCATGTCTGACAAGTGGGAGACATTCAGGAGTGTGATAATGAGAGTTCAGAGGCATTTTGTTCTTGTTAGGGTGAAGGGTAAGGCTGGTAAGATTAAGGAACAATGGATGAATAATGAGATTGAGGTTCTAGTCAAGAATAAAAGAGAATCTTTTTTTAGATATAGACAACTTGGTTCAATTGAATCTTTTAATCAATATAAAGAGTGTAGGGCATTCCTAAGAGAAAAATCAGGAAGGCAAAGAGGCAATATGAGATAGCATTGGCAGATAATGTTAAGGCTAATCCAAAGAGATTCTACAAATACACTAAGAACAAGAGGGTAACTAGTGGGAGGGCAGGGCCTCTTAAAGATTAAGGAGATCATCTGTGTGTTGAATCCCAGGAGATGGGAGAGAAATTAAATGAATTTTTGCATCAGTTTTACTGTGAAGAAAGAAATGGAGCTGAGAGAATGCAGAGAAATAAACTTTATGTTTTAAAAATAAGTTCACATTACAGAAAAGCAAGTTTGGGAGGTCTTATAGAATGCAAAAGTGGATAAATCTTTGAGGCCTAATCTAATGTATCCCAGAATGTTGTGGGAAGTAAGAGAGGAAATAATGAGACCCCTTGCTGAAATATCTGCATCATCTACAACTACGGTCTGTTGACTAGAAAGTGGCTAATAGAGTCATAGAGTAATACAGCACGGAAACAGACAGTTCAGTCCAACCAGTCCATACCAAACGTAATCCCAAACTAAACTAGTCCCATCTGCCTTCTCCTGGCCCATATCCCTCCAAACCTTTCTTATTCATATATCCATCCAAATGTCTTTTAAACATTGTAATTGTACCCATAACCACCACTTCATCAGGAAGTTCATTCCACACGCGAACCACCCTCTGTGTAAAAAAAATTGCCTTTTACGTAATTTTTAAATCTCTCACTGGAGAACTATAGACCTGTGAGTCTGACTTCGGTTGTGGGTAATTATTGGAGGTGATTATAAAAGATAGGATTTACTGACATTTAGAGAGGCAAAAATTAATTAGGGATAGTCAACATGGTTTTATGCAAGGAAGATCGTGTCTTACAAACTTGATTGAGTTTTTTGAGGAAGTTCCTAAAAAGGTTGATGATGGAAAACCATAGACACTGTTTATTTGAATTTTAGTAAAACTTTTGACAAGGTTCCACATGGTAGACTAATTAGTGACGCTAGGTCACAATTCAGGGTGAGCTTGCCAATTGGATACATAATTGGCTTAATGGCAGGAGACAGAGAATAATGGTGGAAGGTTCCTTTTTGGACTAGAGGCCTGTGAACTGCAGTGTTCCGCAGGGATCAGTTCTGGGTCCTCTTTTGTTTGTCACTTATCTAAATGACTTGGATGAGAATATAGATGGCATGGTTAGTAAGTTTGTGGATGATACCAAAATTGGTGGCATTGTAGACAGAGAAGAAGGTTTTCTAAGATTACAAAGTGATCTTGATCAAATGGTCAATGGGCTGAAAAATGGCAGATGGAGTTCAATCTGGATAAATGTGAGGTATTGCATTTTTGTACAACAAACAAGTAGGGCTTATACAATTAATGGTAGGGCCTTGGGGAGTGCTGTTGAACAGTGGGGCCTGGGATGCAGGTACATAATTCTTTAAAGTTTCTGTCACACATAGACAGAATGGTTAAAAAGGCATTTGGCATGCTTGTCTTCATTCCTCAGTCCTTTAAATACAGGAGTTGGTATTATGTGGAGATTGTACAGGACATTGGTGAGGCCTCTTCTGGAATGCTGTGTCCAGTTCTGGTCACCCAGTTATAGGAAGGATATTATCAAGCTGGAGAGGGTTCAGAAGAGATTTACCAGGATGTTGCCGGGTATGGAAGGTTTGACTTATGAAGAATGGCTGGATAGGCTGCGATTTTTTTCACTGGAGTACAGGAGATTGAGAAGTGACCTGATAGAAGTTTATAAAATAATGAGAGGTATAGATAGAGTTGATGGTAGTTATCTTTTCCCTAAGATGGGGACTTTCAAGATTAGGGAGCACATTTTTAAGGTGTGAGATATTTAAAAAAGACATGAGGCAATTTTTTTTACACAGGGTGGTTTGCATGTGGAATGAATTTCCTGAGGAAGTGGTCAAGGTAGGTACAATTACAATATTTAAAAGGATGAATACATGAATAGGAAAAGTTTGAAGGAATATGGGCCAGGAGCAGGTAGGTAGGACTAGTTTAGTTTGGGATCATGTTCGGCATGGACTGGTTGGACCGCAGGGTCTGTTTCCGTGCTATATGACTCTTTGACCTTACTCTTTACAACACAAGTCATTGGCTGTCGATCAAGAATGGGAGGTATAAACTCATGTTCATTTTTCTCTCATCCCTCATTCAGGCTTGTTGAGGATTGTTGTGTTATGACTCAGTGTGGAGGGTTGCACTACTTCATTTTCTATCCTACCCTTTTGCTGATCACAAATTTTTAAAATTTGATGTGGCGGATGATATGACCGGTTTTACAGTTCTCAGACTGTGTTAGGTTTAGCATTAAGAACAGGTCAGCCAACTTTTTGTCAACCACAAACTTCTTTAAAGATACAAAAGCCATACCTACCCTTTTAAAAAAACACATTTGAAGAGAAACAAAAAGAATGAAAATCACACTGTGTTTAATTTAAAGTACTTTGGTCAGGTAGCAGACAAAATCAGTATAAAAATGGATGAGTCATGAATTGTCCCAAATGGTGTTCTGCTTCTGAAGTATTCTGTACACACACAAGCTGCTGGCACTGTGATGCCTTCCTGAAAAGGTGCAGCTGGCTAAATTCCTTTGGCTCCAGATGATGGAGTAAATACCATCAAATCCTCTCTAGGAATCCTCCATGAGAGGTAAAGATGACTTCTGGTCGGCTATCATCTCATACATTTTGCTGAGAGGGGTCATAAAAAAAGAGAGCGAGAACAATGGGCTGTTGATCTTCTATAGGGTCAATTTCTCTCTCACTGAGTTCAATAATGCAATAGATTTATCTCACTCACAAACTGGGCCGTGTGACTTGGCCAAACCTCTCCAGTTCTCCAGATTGAATGACTCCATCTGACCTCCATGCCACTTGCAGATGCAACATTGTCGCTGTTGTACAGAGTCCCTCTTCCTTAAACTTAATCTTTGTTTAAGAGTTCAAAGCAAATTCATGTAGGTCCATACAAGATTTAAAAAAAACATTTAGATTGCTTCTCTTCATGACAATTGTGGCACCAAGACTTTTGCCTCAGTCGAGGTAAACTGACTCAGCACAAAACCAGGAAGCCGACTTGTTACATTTGGTCTGTATCATCACATTAACATCTTTATCACCCACCAAGACTGAGCCAGTTTGCTTCAATTTTATAAAATCAACTTTGTGATTTGTTTTTTTTATTTGTTGTTTGAAATCATGGCAAACTCATAACAAATATATACAGATTAGGCAGACATATATTTTAGAAACAATTGCCACATCACTAACAACCCTTTAGAAACTTACATGTGAAAACATTTTAACTATCAATAATATTGACTGAGAAATGGCTCAGTCATCCTGGAATAGTGCCAGGAGTGTGTCAAGCCAAGTTTATACCACTGTGGACTGCACTGCAGACAGCTATGATGCAAAACCAATATTTTAGAGTCCTCAAACTACCTTGGCTCATGATCTAAATTTTGAGGAATGCATGCTGTTTTCCTTTCCCCTCTTTTCCTCCGTAATAGCTCTTGTGAAATTACACACATGCAAACAAGGCTGTTTGCTTGGGAGGATGTTTGGCTCAATTTTCCTTAACCATGTGCCCAGAGAGGACAGATACCCAAAGTGCCGGGATGCAATGCATTCTGGTGGCACTTCCCCAATGTTGTGTTGCCCAAGGCTCCCTGAAAGTGGGTTCAAACAAGCTCAATGCACATCAGGTGTAACACAGGGTAAAACTGAAGGGTATAATTAAATTTGGTATTGAGCCATTCTGCATTTGGCCAATTGGCTACACAATCTTCAATGTTGACTTTAGGAGTTTGTGTCAATTCACCTCTGATCAAAATCGAACAAAAATCAAAGAGATGGCAGGAAGAAGTAACAGAAAAGACAGAGCTAATATTTTAAGATGTCATACATTTTATAAAAAAGGATTTTAATATGACAGTACCACAGTAGTATGCTTGTGTAACAGGCTATTATAGCATTTGCATTAAGTGGGAAAATTTATACTGCTACTAATCTAATCAACATTTATAAATCAATTAAATTAGTACAATTCATAAATATGCAATTAAGCAGCATAAGTAAATCCTGCCATGTTTCCAAATATGTCTATTGGAGTTTTAAAACTATTACTTAAAATAATACAAATCTGATACCATGTATGTAAGGTGGCTTCTAATAGGAAATATTTTGAAACCTATTGGTAGTGTATGGCAACAATTTAGGGATAAGAAGCAGTCAGAATTATGGATAGGGCATACCCGAATTTCTAACAGGAACTACCAGCAGTCAGAGCTTTTGCCAGCAGCACAGAATTAAAATTTCACTCTGATACTGCATAGTTTCACTGACTGCAAGATGTTGGGAAGGATTTAAAGGAAGCTTGAGAGAAATAACTGCATCTGAGTTATTACTTAACATTTTAAGTAACAAATTTTCTCTTCGGAAGAACATGGAGCAGGAGCTTTGAGATTCTTGTATTATTAACGGGTTGAAATTGAATTGTATAAAAGCTCAGGATCTTTATGCGTAAGATTCTAAATATGGCTCTTTAAGCACCATTTATAGGCACAGTGAGACTCTGCAGTGTCATATATTTGTTTACCTTCAATTTACATTTTAAGTTTAAAACATCAATCAAAAATGTCAAATAGTTTTCTTTTAGATTTATTTTCAACTTAAAGATGCTAACTTGGGTCCTACACAGAATCCAACATCTAAGCTCATTCCATTTACTAGCACATATCTTTAATACTTTGTCACTTTTTATGCTTCAAGGTGCTTGGGGCAGACAATCACTAAGTGACTTATCATTTAATTTCACTTCTATGCTGTAAAGGACGAGAATAATGCTCCCTACATTCCAGATAAATCAACAGATCAGTGTCACCAGATCACAGGCAAGTATGGACAAGGAAGATTCATTTTCCCATTTTAGTGGAATCTTTCAGTAAGAGTCCACAGTCTCTTCACTGCTGCATTTAATTTTTTCTTAAAGTAGTTCCATTTGTAGTGAATTTCTGTTAACCATTTTTCTTCCTCTATATTGTTTTTTAAACATCTTTGTATTCTTTCAACTGTCATTATTCTCCCCACATATATTTTAACAAACTCAGCAATTCCATTGTCCATTCAATACTATTATCTGATTTAGCGACATTGATAAATTTGATTAATTTCCGAAAATAAGTTTAATTTTAAGCTTCTGAATCCTGAAGGTTGAATTTCTATGGGGACTGCCTAATTGACCAAGACTTTGGCAGAGATCTATAAAACCCTGCTCCCATCCAAGAAATGACATAAATATCAAGTTAAGCCATGTCTCTGATATTTCTATTCATTAACTACAAAACTTACAATGGAAGAAAACGAGAGTTTGGCCCAGGAAAGTACTAATGCAAATTATCAATGTGAATTTGATATGCTATGGGTCCCAAACTGGCCCCTTGAGCACCCATACATTACCTCTTCCCAAGTCTAACATAAGCCTCCAGACATGCCCACCCTGAAGAAGTTCTGCTCCTCTCTCTGACGGAGTTTCCGGTCCAATCTTTTTTCTTGTCCACTGTACTTCTTACTCCCTCCCACACCCTATCTTCTGCATATAAACCAACATTTTCCTAGCTACCATCAGTCCTGAGAAAGTGTCACCGGACCTGAAATGTTAACTCTGATTTTTCTTCACAGATGCTGCCAGACTTGCTGAGCTTTTTCAGCAACTTCTGTTTTTGTTCCTGATTTACAACATCCGCAGTTCTTTCGGTTTTTTTATAAACCTTTAGTGTTAGTCAATTTGATTTTGAAGGTAGCTTGGAGTCTTTCACATCAAACTTTCGTTCAATATATTTGGTTAGTGCAGATACATAATTTTGTGAAGATTTCAAAAGTCTATTTGGAATCTGAAGAAATAGTCAAGGAGAAAGAAAAATCTATATTTGTGCAGCATCTTTCACAATCATTAGACACTGCAAAGTGCTTCACAGCTAATAAAATACTTTTGAAGCATTGTGACTCGGAAACATGGCAGCCATTTGCACACAACAGCTCCTACAAATGGCAATGTGACAATGATTAAATACTCTGCTTTTTGAGATTCTACTTGAGGAATGAATATTGGCAGGACACCAGGGCAGTTCCCTTACTTTTCAAGGTATACAATTATAGACCCAGAGCCATGGATTAATGGCACAGAAGGAGGTCATTCAGCTCATCAAGTCCATGCCAGCTTTCTCTGGAAAATCAATCTCCTTCCCTTGCACTGTCTGCATAGCCCTAAATGATTATTTCCTTCAAGTATTTATCCACGTTCCTTTTGAAAGAATTGGTCGTCTCTGCTTCCATTACCCTTGAAGGCAGCAAGTTCCAAGTCATTACCACTTGGTGTAAACTAAATTCTTCTTTTTATCTGCCACCTGCGTCTCTTGCCCAAACCTTAAATCTGTGCGCTTAGTGCTGTAGCATCAACTAATGAGAACTGTTTTATCATACACTGTTCACATGTCATAATCTTGTGTACTTCTATCAAATCTCCACTCAATCTCCTTTGCTCCAATGAGGAGATTCTCCAACCTAGCCTTGTGGCTAAATTTTTTCATCCCTGGAACGATTCTAATAAATCCCCTTTGCATTCTTTCAAGGATCCTCACATCTTTTCTAAATGTGTTGTCCAGAACTGGATGCAACTGTGATCTAACCATAACTTTACATGGTTCAGCACAACTCCCTTACTTCTGTACTCAGCACCTTTGCTAACCAGTTTCTAATATGCCCTGCAACTTTACAAAAATCTAAAGGTCCTTCTTTCCCTATGGAACTGTGCTATCTTTATTGTCTCTTTCTATCTATTCTGCCAAAATGCATCACCTCACATTTCTGCATATTAAACAAGAGCTGGCGCTTGTCTGCACCCCTCAGCCAGCTTCATGATGTCCTGTTGCACTCATTTATATCACTCTCACTGTTTGGCAGTCCTCCAAGTTTGGGATCATTGGCAAATTTTGCTCTGCATTCCAATATCCAAGTTATTTTTATATATCAATTAAAGCAGTGGTCCTACCACTGACCCTTCAGGCTGTCTACTATCCTGCACTCTGCAAAATAACGATTCACAATGACTCATTGCTTTCAATCTTTGGATAAAATCTAAGTTGTCAATGTCACTCATATTTATGAGACACAATTTTGATAACTAGCTTTTTATCAGGTGTTCCTGAGAACAGTAACATGAAATGTTTAACTTCCACTTGAGAAAGAACTTGAGGCAACATTTTAAATAGACGTAGTAGTAATGTCACTGGACTAGTAATTGAGAGGCACAGGAAAATGCTCTGAAGATACAGGTTCAAATCATACCATGGCAGGTCGTGAAATTCATTGATAAAACTGGAACTGAAAGTTAGTCTCAGTAACAATGACCATGAAACTGTCATCAATTTTTGCTAAAAACCCAGTGATCCATGATTGTCCTTCAGGGAAGGAAATATGCCGTCCTTACCGGGTCTGGCTGACATGTGACTCTAAACCTTTAGCAATGTGGTTGAATCTTAACTGCCCTCTGAAATGATCTGACAAGACACTTAATTCAAGGACAATTAGGGGTGGGCAACTAACTAGCCTCGTCATATCCATGAAATAATTTGAAAAGCATCTCTACTAATATTGCTGTGGAGTGCCAGCCTTAATTATAATTCTTTGGACTGGCAGCTGAACTTAGAACTTGCTTCAGCTGGAAGTGAGAGCACTATCAATTGACAACATGGAGTGTGACCTTTGCCTTCCCGACTGAATATTTTGAGGAAGTAACATTTAGTATATTAATATCCAGCATATTTTAATTTTGTACACTCAGCAAAATTAATTTTGAACAAGGTTCACTTATCTTAATTTGAAAGTATTTGCTGGTAGGTTAAACAAAAAATGCATAATAATAGTGATTAGATCATACCGGTATTCTCCTAAGATTATAAAACCTACCTTGTAACATGTTAAGTTTTTGGTCTCAATTCGTACCAGTACACCACAAGAAGAGTGCATAGCTATAGATAAAACTTTGCAATTGCGCTACACTATTGGTAGCTTTAGAAAGCAAGTGTAAACTTCAACAAACCCAGCTAAGTTTATACAGGAAGAAAAATTGCTGCCAACACTCCCCATTGCAGTTCTGATGACAGGTCACAGACCTGAAACATTAACTCTTTTTCTCGCTCACTTCTCCCTTTCCACTGATACTGCTGGATCTGCAAGTATTTGCGACATTTTTCTGGCATTAGCTCAGATTTCCAGCATCTGCAAAATTTTGTTTTTGTAAAGTTCATATCAGAATGAAGGAAAACCGGTTGTCGCAGGAAATCCTTTGTCAAGGAACAGAAATGGACTTGGTTCACGGTTCTCAAACAAAGAAACTTATTTTGTAGTAACTGATCCAAGATGACTTCATTTTTTTAGTTGTTTTTTTGTCGAAACGGCGGATTTTGAGAAGGACCCCTGTTTATTCTGATCTAGATTGCAGTCTGATCCGTCTCCATCTCGATGTAGTTGTTGACGGAAGAGCAGGCAGACGTGGCTTTGCCTGTGGCTCTAAATGATGGTGGCCCCGGCGCTTGGATCCAGCTGGAGAATTGCCCACTATTGTCAGCCTTACCTTTCGCAGCCCTATGGCGACAACACAGAATTACAGCCACTATGCAAAGGAGGAGCAGGCCAGCGGAGAGTGAACCCAGGACGCAGGCCAGGAGCCAGCCTCTATCCGCCTCGTTTCTCACTGGATCGGGCACGCTGTCCGTGCCGTGGAGCTCCCTGCCCACGGGCGATGTGACCGGTGACCGGCTCCCGATGCTAAAATACAGGACAGTCCCAGTTTTCGTGGTTGCCCCTCCTGGCCTGTCTGCGGTGGACCCCAAGCGGATCCCCAGGGCTGTTGGCAAGGTGTCGGAGGTTGCGGCCTCCGTGTTCCAGTCCGTAGCCGGGGCGGTCGGGATGCTGACTATGGCCTGTGAGGTGCTGACCACGTCCAGTGGGGCGCAGGACACCCCATCTGCCCTCAAGGTGTATCCGGGCCTGCAGGAGCACTGGAAGCTGCCTTGGGTGTTGGAGCAGGGCCCCTGACACGGCTGCCCGGCGCACTCGTCCACGTCGACGCAGGCGTGCCCGCTGGCCTCGTAGCCGGGGCGGCACTGGCACGTGTAGGACCCCGGCGTGTTCTGGCACCGGTGGGCACAGGGCTGGGAGGTGCACTCGTCGACGTCCAGGCAGCCGCGCCCGTCCTCGGCCGGGACGTAGCCCGCACGGCAGGAGCACTCGAAGCCTTCGGGCCTTTGGACGCACAGCTGCTCGCAGGGGTGTCCCAGGCAGGGATCCAGGGGCGGACAGGGGCGTCCCAGGCAGGGATCCAGGGGTAAGCACGAGCGAAGATCGTCCGCGAGTCTGTAACCGTCCAGGCAACGGCACGAGGCCCTCCCGCCCAAACCGTCCACGCAGAGCTGGGCGCAGCCGCCATTGTCCGCCTCGCAGCCGAAGGGACGGGCGCAGCGCAGGGGGTCGTCCGGCGACCAGCCGTACGAGCCGGGGCTCGTCTCCTGGCACAGGGTGTAACTGTCCGACCCGGAGCCCCGGCACGACACCGCGGCCAGCGAGCCGAAGGGCACCAGGGCCAGGGTGGCGCTCTCGGCGTCGAACGGGGTGGTGTAGGTGACCGAGCCGGGCCCGGCTAGCTCGATGGGCCGGCACATGCCCCGGAAGCTGAACTTGCAGAGGTAGCCTTCGACCCGGCCGTGACCGCACACGCCATCCGCCCAGGCGAAGCGCCTTCCCGAGGCTCCGGGGTCGGAGGAGGAGAAGACGGCGAGGTGGACGCAGCGGTGGGCGGTGCATGTGCTGAGGGGCTCCCGGGCCCAGTTGGAGTAGGTGGTGTCCTCGCCTCCCGAGGTCCAGACGAAGCCCCTCAGAGGCTTGTGCTGCTGGTAGCAGTGCCGGCGGGGCAGCTGGAGCCCCAGCCAGAACCTCCAGCGGGCGCCCGTCGACGGCGACCCGGCGAGGCTCGACTCCAGCAGCCGATGGATGTGCTTCGCCTCCCCTTCGTCCTTTACTGTCGCCAGGTTCCCCCCATTGGCCTTGCAGCTGTCCAGCGCCTCCCAGAAGGGCTTGCCGACCATGTGCGCCGTGTAGCAGGCATCGCTGGTGCAGAGGGTGGAGTGCGAGGACGCTGCAGCCAAATGACCCCTCAGGGTGCCCAGCAAGAGTTGGCATAGCAGCAGCAGCATCCTCCCAGAGCCTGGCAGCAGAGTTCCTCAACGTGAGAGCGTGTCCTAGTCTGAACTGCTCTAAGCTGTGTCTGCAATATGTGCTGCAGCGTGTGTTTTCATTGACCCCCCCCCCCCCAACTTTTTTTTTAATTGTTGACAGGAGCTCCCTGCTTCCCCATGTGTCTTTTTGGTCCTGTGAACGATTCTCCCACGGTTTCAGCACAGCCTGCAGCGGAAACGATGGAGAAGTCACTGGAGAGTTTGCAAATTGTTGTTGCATTCCAACGTGGAAAGCAGCGAAGATGTTTAACTTCAAAAGAGCGAAGTGCACTTTCACATGCCTCATTTTCCCCTCCAGCTTTTCATCCCTGGTCTTTGCAGTCAACATTCATATCAGTGTATGATGAATGATGCTTTGTTTAGAACAAGCTGAAACGTCTTCCACTCAGTAAAATTGACAGAGCCCACATTTCACACCCCATGCTCAATTCACATCCCAGTGATTTCTTTTGGCGGGGAGGGGGGAAAGGTAGGTGTGCATTATTCATTATTGGCTATATCGGGGTCACGGCAAAACGAGAGCGAGTGGAAAATTCAGAGTAGCCAAGTTAAAGTGACAACACAGCTAAAGATGTATTTACAACGTAGTCCCCTCAGCTAATCCCTACCCCCATTCCCCTGAGATCTTTATCGCCGAGGTCGTGGGAATGTTACATTGGAATTGCGAGGCTGCCAGAACAGCTGTCCTCAACATAATTAAGACTTCGGGCATTTTTTTTAAAGTGAATTTTATCTAAAGATAATTCCCTTTGTTAAATATGTTATCACTTGAGGGAGATTGATTTGATTACCTTTCAATAATAATATGTTTTAATATTTCCCAAATCAAATTGTGGAAAGGATTAAGCACATTACCAGAGTATAGGAAATTACTTGCTGAATAATGCTGTGAAACCTCAGAATTTTAAATATGGTGTAACTTAGTCTGTCATCCAAAATAAAATCGTATGGAATTTGGGAGTTGCAATTGAAGAATGTCCAGTTGTTATTAATGATGATCTTCTGTAGTGTATTATATTAATTAAAACTATTCAGTATTGTTTTTTAAAAAAAACCGACAAATGCTCATAGACCACACACTATTTTTTGCACAACCAGAATTATACTTAATTGGCAGAAATAGTACATACTTTCCCATAACTACTAAATGACAGCAAAGAAAAAGTGGGACAATCTTGCATGAATCATACTTGTAGAATCAAAACAAGCACCAGAATCATATAATTAATTGCAGGTGAACTGCTTTACACCAATTTGCTGTCCATTTGACCTTATGTATATAAGGTTACCATCAGATCATAATCTGCATTGGAAATATTTAAATTAAGCTAAATGCATTTATTCCCTACCTTTTCTTTCAGTCTTGCTCTTTTAATTCAACATTTTGTTTCCTCATTTTTGTAGTGGATTTGATGTTGAATTAATTTTGTAATCGATACTTTCTCTTTGGTATTCTGCACTGATCATTGGCAAGTCTTCAATCTGATGGAGTAAGGAGATATGCAGGTACTTGCTCTGTCCACACTGGTCCTAGATGCCTGGTAGAGGGCACCACACTGTATCAGCTCTCTAATGACTATAAGACCTCGGTCAATGCCTTTTTAACCAACTTAGTGTAAGTGAGAACCATTAGTTGCAACATTATGAAAGAACTCCTGAAGCATCAAATACCGTGCACTGGGAATGCATAATGACTGAGAGGAGCACACCGATGTCTGGCAAGGAGCTCTTAAGTGGTTGCCGTTTGTCCTTACATGGGTTATGCTATTCATAATGAGAAAAAGAGGCTTCAGGTAAGGCAAGCAACCAAACAACGTTATTCAAGGAAGTAGTTTTGGAATCATAATACAGGAAGGCTGTGGCTTCCAAATGCTCAACATTCAGGTTGGCCACTTTAAATTTGTGCCATGCAAGAGAATTTAAAGGGCTGTGTATTTAAACTGCACATTTTGAAAGGAGAGAATATTGTGCAGAAGCTGAGAGAGCATCTGTGGAAAGAGAAATAAAGTCAATGTTTCAGCTTCAGTTCCTGGCCTTTCCTGAAATGCATTCTTGTTTCTTTCCCATAGAATCCCAAAAGTGGAAAAGTTGGAAGCACAGTGTGTAGATTCAACCAAGCACGTTGTTTAACTCAGTATCACCCACAAGCTCAGGTGTACTCAGTTAAATCATTTGCAGAATGGAACAGTTGATGAAGCACAGAGAATGATTGAAGAGGAACAAGCCTTGAATGAGACAGATTACAATCCGCTGACAAATGAGAATGTAACACAGAGTTTGTACAGTTTGAAGAACTCAGGAGGAGAGCAGAGCCCTCAGTTGTACAGCACTATGTGACTGCCTGGCTATGTTGCAGATAATGATGCAGATTTTGAGCTTTTATCTGCAGCAGAATCTGTATGTCTTATTCCTTATGCACAGTCAATGGCTCAGGCTTAGCTTTACAAGTGAAAACAAGAATTTGTATTTCCATACCACCCTTAACATAGTAAGATATCACAAGGTTCTTCACAGGGGTATTGTCAAACAAGGTGTAACATTGGAGATTTTAGGATTACCAAGAGTTTGGTTTTTAGACATGTCTTTAAAGAGCAGATGTAGAGAGGAGGAAATTCTAGCGATTAGTGCCTGAGCAGCAGATAGTCTGCTTTTCTTATGTTTGTTGAGGATAAATGTGCAATAGGACCCTGAAGATAACGTTCCTGATTTTCTTCAAAACGGATCCAAGGATCTTTTACAACCACTGAAAGAACAGGCCAGTATAACTAATAATAACAGAATCTCTAGAGCTATCGCACAAATTTACTTATAATCTTGCATCCCAGATCAGGATGTCCTGGGGTGCATATTGTCCTAGATTTCTGCTATCTCTGTAAATTTTGTTTCTGTTCGCACTTCGGGCACTCAGCCTGGAGATTAGTATTCCAGCAATGTCCTGCAGGTGTCTGAAGGGTGACATCTGAGCAGGCAACGTAAGAATTGGCGTGGGATGTGTGTATGTAGGCCACCGTTCACTCCCAAACCCACCCCCACCTATTGGTCCATGTGCATTCAACTTGTTCCCAAGGTCTTGTCAGCCTTCCTATGGTGACATGTCCCTTATTATTTTCATCCAGAGTTGAATACCCTGATTCTAGATAGTGCCCTAGTTTAATGCCTCATCCCTCAGTACTGAAATTTTGTGCCAGCCTTGACTTTTGCACACAGGTCTATTGAGTGTGTTCAAAGTGGTGATAGGTGAATGGGACTTGTTGTGAGCTCAAGCTTCAGGGGTGATAAAGTGGAAGGATGGCCAAGAGTGCATTGCAACTGTAAAGTTTTGAGGTAAAAATATCTGAAATGTGGAGAAGCAGGCTACTAATTTCTAGCTCCACTGCAGCAACACAAGACATCGACATCAGCATGTTTGGATTGAAATACAATCATACAAATGTCCTTCCTGGTCTGCCAGGATTATGTGACCTCTATCATGAGAAACATACACTGCATCTTAGTGTCAACTTCAATAAAAGTACTGTTCTGGTGTCTTGTGAACACAGAGCATGGAGTCAGAAGTGAAGTTGAGATTGAGTGTAGAAGAGCTGGAAAATATCAGAGCTGCTGTCAGAGAGACACAGAATGAGCAGAGTTCTAAAAAGCTACAAGAAGCAACTGAAAGAAACTGAAACAGGCCACAGGGATGGAACACTGGGCAAGAGAAAATGGCTGCAGCTTTTCTTCAACCAGCTCCAGATGAAATGAAAGATTGAATGAAGCAAAAAATTTTTCCAGGCACTGTGACAATATTATGAATTAAGAGCAAAATCTGTTTAATAAGGCAATGCAGCTATGCACTCTTATACACATCATCTTGGGAAGACTTTTTCAAAGTGTACAGCACCCTGAATTTCCCTGAACAGAAAAAGAACAGGATACAGAAATGTTGAAAGTCTTGAAGGCACACATTTAGCCCCAAGTGATTGTGACTTATGGATGGTACATGTTTAATGTTAAGGTCCAAGATGGAAAAGAGTACATTGATCAATATATGATCTCATTAGCTCACAGAATTCTCTGATTTTTTTCACATATAAAAGACAATCTAATTAAAAACACTGTTAGACACAAGAGATCCTGCAGTGAAAACACATCTATTGAGAATCTTCCTCTATGGAAAGAAATTGATATATGCAAAAGTGCTGAAGTTGTGAATCACCACCTGGAATCTATAGCAGAACAGATCATGTCTTGCATTATTCTGGCAGATTCCCAGATACATAAGGCATAATGATGATAGACAAAAGGTTACTGTGAATGATATTATGCAAAAGAGAAGACCACATGTCCTGTGTGGGGAAAGCAGTATTCTCTGCAAGAATGCAAATCATCTTACACACCCATCTACGGCCAGAAAGAAGTACAGATGGCTAGAAACAGGTACATATGGTTGCTGGGGAGATATGAACTGAAGTATCAGATAATTACTTTATATTGTACGACACATTGGTTCAGAGTTTGATAGATTGGTGACTGTTGGAATGGTCAAGTGTCAGATGGAAACCGGTGCATCATGCAATTTCATAACCTTCACAGACATGTGCAAAATGGCTCAACATGGCCATTCAAAAATGAAGCCCTGTAAATTAAGATTCAGGCTACATGATGGCACCATATCCATACTGAGGGTACATATTGTTCTGTATGACCAATGCAATAACATAAATGATGATCTGGAGTTCTAGATCATAGAAGGTAAGCAAAAGCCAATCATCTCAGCCAGAACAAGTCTAAAGCTTGGACTGGGAACTGTCAAAAGATATTTGCAATGTGTCACAGCACATATTGACCCTGGAACACATTCTAGGCAAGTACAAGACGTGTTTACAGGGTTAGAATGTCATCCAGGAGATTATTATATCTAAGCTGATGAGAGTGTAAGACTAGTTCAGCATCTGCTGAAGGACAGCCTGAAACACAAAGCAGGAGATGTGAAAAAGAAGAGAGGAATAAAGAAAGTAGCGG